GCCTCCCTCCCCTGCTACCGTCCGGCAGAGGGGCCATGACAGGGTGGGGGCCAGGCATAAACTAGGGGGTGCAAGGGTCAGTTGAGCACTTGGAGCTGGAAGAGTATGTCCCTTTGAAGAAGAACATGACCTCAGAAGGCTGAAGGCCAAGAATAGAGAAGGTTCTGGAAGGGGCCATCCCAGAGAGCAGAGCAGAGGTCAGCCTGTCACAGTCAGACTGAGGACCCCGCAGGCTGTGGGCAAGGGGCACCGAGTGTTCTGCTGGAAGTGAGGGACCCCGAGCTACACCCCCATTTGCTGCCTTACCTGGCACCTGCTGCCTTTCGGTAGTTGAGGTTCACTTTGATCTGAGGGGAGAAGTTCCTGTCCTCGCCCACATATGGTGACTCCATTGGGGGCAGCCCATCCCCGAGGCCCCGCTGTCCTGTGTCCACATCAGCTCCATCTTCAGGGCCTCCATCATAGGTCTCCAGCCTGAAGGCTGGGGGGCCAGAGGCGAAAGCCATCCTGGGGGTGGCGACCCAGCTGGAACCTCTGTGAAGAGAGATATCAGGGGCCCTGCCTGCCTCCGCCCAGGGACGGGTAGGCGCCTGGCTGGGCTGCAGACAGAGGGGTTTAGACGCTGAGTACACCCACCCACATGGATGGGGGTGGGGCTGCGAGGAAGGAATGAGGCCCCAGTGAGGAGACGAAGGGAAGTTCTGGTGTGAGGATGGCGGTGTCCTGAGAGGGGGGAACAGGACCCAACAGGCCTGCCTCTTTGCCGCTGTCCCAGGGGAAGGGGCCGTGGTGTCCCTGACTTTCCCTCCAGGACTTCCTGATGTGGAGACCACAGCCCCTGGCCTGGCGGTAGCAAGCGTTTGCATCACCAGCACAGCCCTCTCTATGCACATTCTGTCCAGCGGCTGGGAGTCACCGAGATGAAGGTGCAGTAGCGCGGTGGGTGCGGGGCGCTCATCTCTCACCACGGAAGGGGCGCTGGCGGTGGCGCGGTGGGGGTGGAGGGAAACCCTGCATCTGCTGCCAGGACAGCTGCAGCTCAAAAGGGAAGTGATTTCCCCAAGCTCACTTGCTGTGGACTGCGGAAGCCAGTCCATCCTTGCTGCTTGACACAGTCGCTGCAGGGAAGAAACATCTGCACAGCATATGTTTCAAGGGACCTGGCGTATATGGCATACTGTTCTTAATATGGTTGCTCCCCCTCTTAGTGCTATGTGTTTTAAACAAGACCACCTCCCTGAGAAAGGTTGTTTCCCCGGGTGAGGATTTTTTCCCTGGAGTTAGGGATTAACAGGACTAAGGAAGAGAATAAATCAGTGAAACCCCCTAGTGTTGTAGAAATACCATGTACTACTTATGAAGAACTTGGAGTAAGACTGTTGGCAATAAATTTGGGACTTGTTGGGCCCACATCCCCAGGGAAAGCACCAACGCC